CTCTTCGTCGACTTTCTCTTTGTGTTTCCACGGCCATGAAAAGACATTCCCAGGTATTTTCAGCACACAGATCGATAAAAGAAGCTTTTATCTAGCATTTAATACGACAAACACGACAAGAAACGGTTATGTGCTCAAGTTATTAACGAAAGAGAAAGTCGACGAAGAGAATCGATCAATGTTACTTAGGACCTAATGCAATGTTCAGCTTGAATTGTTTACAAAATCAGATAAGAAACACGGCCGATGAGAGGCACTCAGTAACTGAGTCGAATTTAACTGGGGTTACTCAGTGAGTGAGTGAAATTTTTGCTCACTTTTCCGGGAAACACTACTCGAACATGAAGAAAATCAACCAAAATTTTACTCAGTCTAGAAGCATACTAATATACTGAGTGAGATGTATCTAGATTTTCCTCCATTTTTGCTGGAAAATCTAGGAAAATTTTACTTATTCACTGAGTACTACATTTTTTTGCAATGTTGAAACAAAGTCGACTCCGTTTTGAGTTACTCTGATTGGCCGTAAGGTTTGACTATTTGTTCGAGTTTTCTTCACATTACTCGCGTTGTTCGGTGCATTTATGCACTGCGGTTATCTACATCAACACACGGTCGTTCAGACTGTTCAAAATTGAGGTGAGCACCAATCTTAGGTCATCTTTTTTGTCAGTGTGCCGCAGGTATGCCGATTGTTTGTAAAAAAGAGCAAGCTGCGATTGTTTGTAAAATACCAATCCCGGCAACCCGGTATTTCTGATAGCTTGAATGTTTTGGTTTGAAATCGCAAGGATAAATCGATTTGAAGATGACGTGGGAAGTGGCAGGTGTGCGAAATTTTGGTGTTTTGTGTTCATAGGATAATAAAAGCCTTGTGTTTTAGGGTTTTATAATGCCCTCAAAGGCAGACCAGAAACCTAGCCTTTCGTGATATGAAAGCAACGGTCTATCAGCGGCCGGAAAGAGTTGGGGAATATTGTTGGAGACCGACTATAGAGGATGATGAATAGACTCCTGTTGTTTGTTTTGTGTGAGTTGCAGAATTATTTGAATTAAAGATAATAATGGGGTCTGATTAACTACCTCTTTCTCTTGAGCCCACTCTAGAACCTACATTTCGTATTTAGATCTATAAGTGAACTGCTGGTCTGAGTTCCTCTGGTATATTCAATAAGAGGATGTTCCTGAATATACAGGGTGCGTGACGAATTTTTGCAGTAAATGGCATATTTGAGAAAAAATACACCAGTTAGTTATTCTAGCAATGAATTTTGTGCGATTTATTTTCTTTCGCAACATATGGAAGTTGTAAGTAAATTTATTCAAAAAATTGCCTTCCCTTTCGACTACTGTAGTTAGACGCTTCCGGAAACTGCAGTATGCACGTTTTAAAATGTTTCGATCCATAGATGTCATCACTACCTTGATTTTACCTTTTAGCGACTTAAGTGTGGTGTGAGGGGTTCTATTGGTATCCCGTTGGACGACGCCCTATACAAAATAATCCAACGGATTGATATCGGGACTGCTTGGGGGCCAAATTTCTTCCTCCCAAATTTACGAAATATTTTCCGTAAGCCATTTCTGTGCTTTGTTAGCAGTATGAACAGATGCTTCGTCTTATCACTTTCCCAAGCATTTTTTAATATTATACACTGTTCTTTCAGACACATTTACCGACCGAATTATTTCATTCATGCATACTCCGGCGCGCAACAAAGCCACAACGGCTGACAGATTGCTCTCTTGTTTCGACATCTTTACGTTTACTCAACATTGTTTGTTTAAATCTTACACCTAACAGTATAAGCTATCCAGTGCTGCCAAATATATCTAAATCATGATGCACAAGCATGAGAAATTACTATTTGAAATTTACTGCAAAAATTCGTCAGTTAAACAGCTCGTAATGTTGTGAACAACTTCAATGCCAGTTTTCCAACAGTGCATTTTATTTACAACAATACAATGCCTACGAGATTGTGCCGTAGGTGTGCCGATGGATGTGCCCAAGTTGTGCTGAATCTAATTTTGGCACAATGTGCTGAGTGACTTACCCCTTGGGATTTACTCAAAAGTTAGTTGAATTTTGCGGGCTTTTCCAGGAAAAACTTCTCGAATATGAGGAAAATCGATAGTGGTTTCACTCAGTCTATTAGTAAACTGAGTAAAATTTTCATGGTTTTTCCTCTTATTCGAGAAGTTTTTCCTGGTTTTCCACGGGTTTTAACCGGAAAATTTATCTCACTTTTGAGTGAAACCGCTTTTGCTGAAATTGAGTCGGTCTGAACAGTAAAGACCCACTCGCAATGTGGGTGAAAGCGGAAGTGGAACGGCTTGACAGTTGTCACTAACGACTTCAAGATGTCTAACCAAAGTGGTTCTTACTAGAGAGGGTCTAGTATAAGAGAGGAGTGGATTCAAAACAAACTGCCTTGGCAACATATGCCTAGGTGATTTCTAGCAACACTGCCAATGCAATAAAGATAGGCGCTGCTCGATTGGCTCTGGATTTGCCAGTTCGTTTGGCTCAAAACCAGCCAGTCCGCTCCTCTCTTATAGTACGTTCAGACTACAGAGTTATAACATGTTATAGCGCTATCTTGATGGTGGTTTTTGTGTTGCAATTATTTGACAACCGTTATAACATGTTATAACTTTCCAGTCTGGACAGCGTTTTATACTAAGGTTGAAGGCTCCAACTACGCGGTTGTGATTTTTGGTGTTGTACGGAATACTTTTTCCTTCACTTCTGGGCTTCCGATCGGTGGTCAACCGTTCCTCGAACCGCTTAATCACTCGCAACACCGTGGAATGGATCATTTTAGATGGCTGAGTTTTGAACCCACCACAGTTTTCATTTGGCGCTACTGTATACGGACGAACCAATGTAAAATACTGTGGTAGCCACAGTACGGTGCTGTCAAAACCTCAGCATCTTCAATGATCCATTCGCGATTCCCAACGTTTTAGCGATGGAACGATGCGAGAGATCCTTGTTCTCGTGATGAATGCGCAAGATTTTATCACGCACGAGCTGTTCTTTCGACTCCATTTCCGCGAGTTTTGATCACAGGACTTTAAAGCTTGCAGGATGTAAATAATGCACTATGAACTAAATCCACCCAAATTTTCATTAAATTCTACCCAACGGTTAAAAAGTTAGAGCAATTTTATAGTGTGGCAATTTCATCGTGGACACCCTTTATGCCTAGGTGATTTCTAGCAACACCTGCAATGCAATCAAGATAGGCGATTGGCTCTGGATTTTACAGTTCGTTTGGCTCAAAACCAGCCAGTCCGTTCCTCTCTTATACTAGACCCTCTCTAGTTCTTACTAGTTTTGTACCCGACAAGTAGGCTAATTTAAATCGAGCTTTTCGAGCCTTTTAAACTCAGCGACCTGCCATCTTTTCTTCAAAGCTCACCAGACGTTTCACCAGTACAGCATTTTGTCTCGAATGATCAGTCATACCACCGTCCTTTACTAGTCACACCGACAAAAAATGCCTGATAAGGATAGGGGCGGGACACCTTGGCTGAATACATCAAAATATGTTTTGATATTTAATTTTTCTTTTTGACTTAGACTTGTGAATTAGTTTTTGAAAATACTTAAATTTTTTCGATGATATTTAGAAATATTTGACGATATTTTCTAATATACTTAAGTTGTTTTGCCTTTTGGATAAGACAAACATATTTGACGTTTTACAATGGCCCAAAGTTGGCATTAGTAGTGCTTGCTTTGGGCTGGCACCTTTTTTGAATGATTTCAGCCCTACATTGGCAGATGGTGCTTGATAGGCATTTTATGTCCGACTATTTGGCTAGATTAACACAAATTAGGCTCATAAAAAAACATCTAAATCAGTGACCCATCGATCCCAAACCGTATAATAATGAAAATAAAACAAATATTACCCTCCTGCTATATGCAAGGAAATACTCACCATGAGAATAAATGCTTCCACAGCGACGAAGACGAGAAGTAGTGCCATGTTTTACAGCAATATGAACAATCAGTCTACTTGCATTTGAAGACTAATCGAATGCTAATATTATTACGACTACAACTACAACTACCGGTGTACCAGTGATATTTTCGCACTTTATATCGCACTCTTAAACATATTGAGAGAAGAACTGCATATATATTTTTTTGTCTATGCCCTGGAAGAATGTACGGAAACGACTAAACGACGGTTCAGATTGTTTTATTTAGTTTTTAAGTTTTAGAGAGAAGACGGAAGAAGTGTCGTAGGGTAAAATTTGTAGCGAGTGAAAACGAAAAAAAAAACGAAAATTTCAGAACGAAATCAGTATTAAAACAAAATGGTGTCGCTTCTTACGCATAACTGCGAAAGGATGCGCAGTGCAAGCAAAACAGGTTCACTTCTGAAGGAAAAGGAATTTTGGGACATTCAGTTCAAATCAGTTGTTGTAATTGGAGGTAAGGAAAATAAAACAAAACAAAAAAGCGCGTGGGAAATGAGAATCGAGAATCGGTGTATGTTGAAATGAACTAAAAGTGCGTGTGATATATGTTATTTAATTTAAACTTTACGTTATTTTTTTAGTCTATTTGTACGAGTGAATCCCATTTAATTATATATTGCATAGTTACTTTTAACGCTGTTTCAGTAAGGTTTCCGTTTAACAAAAAAAAAAAAAAGATCCCAGCTCCAACGCAGAAACGCTTTTTATAAGAAAATGCTATTTGCTTACTATTTATACGAGAACTGAGTAGAGAGCGAAAAGAGTAAACAATCGTCCTTTTTGCTAGGATTGGAGCGTGACAGGAATAGAATTCTGCAGAAAATTACAGATGCATGAACTCAGAAGATTCGAGTAAAATGTTTAAAAATAGAAACGAGAGATGTTCTTCCGGTAGAACGTGAAAGAAAGCCCTTTGAAACGTTGTACGAAAGAAAGCCCAATCCATCATACAAGCAAGCGATAATCTTTTCGGCTGTCAAAGTAATCCATTGTGATGCCCATTTTTTTTTCGGAACATACATTCTTTATTGTGGCTACAATTAGCTAAAGCAATTTCTAACAAAGTTTCAACTGTGTGCCGTAGTCCTTGTTTGGGGTTTCTAAAACTAACTGATACTGAGCTTCATCTTCAAAACAAACTCTGAACCTTTTGCCAACATGCTTAAAACTCTGTTCGTTCAATGTGCGCTTCAATAATAGGTGCTTCGTAACATTTCGTCCATTTTGTACCCATTCGAGTAATCAGTTTCTATCACAGTTTGCTGATCAAACCAAATTTCTGCTGAACCTAAATTAAAATATCTAGCCCAAATTTACTGTTCTACCGTTTGTTCCGCTAATACCGGCAGGGGTCCACTAACGACCTCCAGTTCCGGTCCGCTGCTAAGCAAACTACTCAAATCACTAGCATTAGCAGGTCCCTCGCTTTTGCTATTGTCGCTACTGTCGTTCTCCTTCTCCGTCTCGCTGCTGTTCTGGCGTGATGACTCCTGTTGCTTCTGCAGCTTGGTGCGTTGCTTCTGGAGTACTCTCAGCTCCGTTGGCGTTAGCATTCCCCGCAGGATCGTATCGTACGACACCGAGAGACCCATGTTGGACATCTTCTGAAAGAGCCGGTAGCATTCGCGTTCCTTCGGTGTCTGGCCGTCCACCAGTCCACCATCCTGACCGCTGGCACCACTGCCAGCATCTCCTGTTTTGGCATCCGACGACGACGGGGACGACGCCTGAACTGTTTTCGTTGGATTTGATGATGGTGGGATGGAATCGCTGCTTTTGGCATTGTCCTTGGAATCATCGCTGCTGTGCTGGTCCTTATCCTCGTCGGACTTGGTGCCCTCGGTTAAACTGGGAGGAGAAATGATATTTAAAATATCCATTGTGCGATAAAATATTACTGATTGCATAGGTACGACGCCCGAAAACACTGACCAAAACTAAGATCAACTCACTTTTTCTTCTGAAACGCATTCAACGTATTGGCCAACTGTTGGCTTCTCCTGATTCGATTGGCAAAAGGTTGCAGTGACGGTGGCTTGCGATGACCCGGCTGGTAGTAGTCCCGGTTGAGTCCGGCGGTTTGCTTCAGCTCGGTCTCCTGGAATGAAACTGTCGACAAACCGAAAGCATGATTTTGCAGCAACTTGCCGAACCTCTGTGGTTACATACCCGACTTGCCAGCCTTCTTGAGCATTGGAGCACGCGACTTGAGCGCCGAGCTGATGTTGATATTGAAATTGGTCGAGCTGTTTCCGGTGGGATCCGCACCGTGTGTGGGTACCGTATCCTCCTTCTCCGAGTCGCTTCCCCCGGAGCTGAGTAGCGAAACGAGGGTTTCGATGTCGCACGCTCCCCCTAGCACCGAGCGCGATCGTGGACCACCAGCAGCTGCAGCGAGCGTGTTCTTGCTGTTGGTCGTGTTGAGTTTGAGTGTTTCCTCGTCGAAGTCGTCCTCATCGCACTCGTTGATCTCGTCGCGTTCACTGGAAAAAGAGCAGGGACAGGGATCTTAAGTTTTTGGAAATCACTACAAACAGAAAACAGCGTACCGCAAAATCTTCTTCTTCCGGGTCTTCTTCTTACTCTGTAGGAACTTGGAATCGTTGTCTATCGGTCGGATCGGAGCTGACATAGCCCGCACCAGCGGCGGGCGTCTTTCGGCGGTTTCGGAATTTTGCCGATTCGCTTGGAACTGAGCACGACGTTGGGCTAGGGACGAGTTGCGGCCACTGCCACCGGAGGATTGCTGCTGTTTGGGTTTACTCGCGCCTTCCGGTTGCTAGAAATAGAACAAAAGAAAAAAGTTTAATACTTTCTCTTTCCGCTTCCAGCTAACTTGTTAGGTTGTTGTTAGGGTAGGCATGTTTGTAGGCGATTAGTACAAACTAGAAGAATGTTGGGGGTGTGACGCAGTTCCTGTTCGATGCCTCGTGCCGCAGCACCATGCCATCTAGTACCACGCAGGATATCGCTATTATGCTGTCGGGTGATAAAATTGCGGCTTCTCACTTCGACGTCGTCCCATGTATGTATGTGCAATGGGGAAGTGCATCGGAGGAATGCCAAATGAAACGACGTATATCTAGAAGGTACAATATGGGAAGCGTGTGTAGAAATGTACCCCGTCTGGTGTGATAGCGTGATTCTATTTTAAGCTTCCGCGTTTGGCGTATGTGGAAAAGTTTTTCCTATATTAATCGATAAATTGCATTCAGTGTTCGGTTTTTGACAACCTTCACAATTCGAATTCGATAGGAAAGACTAAACATGTCAATGATACTTCATTTGTTAAATTAATTTTATTTCATCGCTATCAAAAACTGCAACTTATTTCAATGTACTTTGCACAACTTTTAACAACCAGGACAGACAGACAGGACGAGTGGCCTTTGGATGGTTGAATTGCTGATAAAGTGACTGGTAAGCGGGACAATGGATACCGTAAAACGGGGGGAAGTTGATCACGTTTTACCGAAATACCTGAATATTTTTCCAATCATATGTTTGGCCCACAAACAAATACCTCTCAAACCTGCACTAGTAAATCCATTTCTAAAGTACGAATTTAGTTTTCAAATTGCATGATTGGTTTATTTTTAAGTATTGAAATAAGATTAAAAATGCAAATGATCAATTCTGGGGTGATCATGCAGGTTTTTATGCAATGCAATATTCAGAATCAGAAGATAGCATTTATACTTGATTTGTGTTCGCTGAAGAAGAGTCTGGTGTTAAAATTTCAACAAAAGTTGTGGTTTACGAAAAAATTACATAATAGTTCAAAAATACGCCTAAATGTAGACAATTATCATCAGTTACGAAAAAAAAGTAGAAGGGTCTGTGCCTACACTCAAAAAATTTCACACGTTTGAGCGAAGTGTTTAAACACTTGATTTTTTAAATACAGAATCACATTTACTTTAAGTGGATTTCACCTTGGTTCAATGTGTTATACACGTTAATTTATAGTGTTTCAAACTTTGAAATGTTGAAATTTTTTCACTTTCTATTCAAGTGTATTGCACATTGAATCACGCTACTGTTCAAAACAGATGGATTTAAAGTGTTTTGCATTTCAATACGATGTGAATTGCTTGCTCAGAAAGGTAAACATCGAAAACAAGAGTTGTGACTTTTTCCTATCAACCCGCCTCATATATGAGAACAACCGTGGCACAGTGAGATCGAACGAAGACTCTGGCAGCAGCACACCCCAACAGTTCACGATCGAATCCAAAATCAGACCCATTTAAATGATATGTGAAAGCTCTGGCCTCTGGCAGTTTTGTTTTTATATTTGTCGATTCATTTTTAGAGTCGGTAAAGTAGAAGTCGATAAAATAGAATATTGTAGAATATTGAACTATGGTGTGCAAAGCTATTGATATCACCATAGAATCCAAGTGTGTCACAATTTAAATCCATAGTGTTCAGGCATGGTTCATAGCATAAGATTCACACATGAAATGGATGTGTTTCACAATAAGCGCAAAATTAAGTGTGAGACACATGATGATGGCGTGTGGAATTTTTTGAGTGTAGGCGCACAAACGGAAGCTTGACGTAGGACCGCTAGTGGACGGAATAAATGTGAAGAGCATTAAGTTCTTTTAATTGATCAAACAATATCTATTATCTCAACTCTTTCCGGTTTTGAATTGTAGGCGATCCAAATTTGTAGTAATCTTTTTCAAAAAGAAAGTTGATTACGAGAATCAACAGGGTGGCCAGTGAATTTTCATTTTGAAAATCCCGGTTTTTTCCCGGTTTTCCCGGTTCAAATCTTAAAAATTCCCGGTTGTTAATATGCAACAAAAAAAAACAAAATTTACTGATAGGATAAAAAAATGTGATTTAAGAAGATTCCTAGATTCTGGAGCTTTGAAATTTGTGTAGAGTCTGAAACTAGAACTTTTCTTCAAAATCTGTGATTAATAACATGCTGATTTGGAGATTTGGAGAAACAATAATTAAAATGTGAAATTTTAAATTTTTTTCAAGATCACAGGTTTATAAAAAAAACATCATACCTATGAGTCGTGGAGTCATAATTGTCACGCTCTGAGACTTAGAAGCATTTTAAGGGTAATAACAAATTACATTGCAATCTGTAGAATCTGACGGACAAACCCTGGAATTTTTAGTAAAATTTAAAAGAATTCAAAGTGTTGATTAAAAACAAATATTGAGAAGGATTCCCACACAGTTTTCGAAGGAGAAGAGCAGATTTCCAGAATTATTCTTACATGAAATCCATAGAAATTGTGGAATGAATTTGGAAGGATTTCTTTGGAGAAGAATGCAAGTTCTAAATTAAACTGTTAGGTAATTTTAGTAGATTTAAATAAGAATTGTGAAAATAAAAATAAAACATTGCAGAAAATTCCTACGTGGTTCTGATGAGATTTGTATGGGCATCGTGAGGAACATGACAGATGAATTTTAAGAAGAATTCAAAGAGAATTATGATCGGAATTCAACAAGAAACAGAGTTCTTAAAATGTTCTGGCAATAATTTCAACCCTAGATGTGATTCATCACATAACCCAAACAAAATTGATTCCAAAAAATTTGCTGATAATTAGAAAGAAATTCTTTAAAATACTCCAAGGGGTTTATAAATTAATTTTCTAAGGTTTCTTTTGTTTTGAATAGAGTTAAAAGAAATATTTGAAAAGATTTTTAAAGGAATCAAAGTTCCGGATAGGCGGGAACGGGAATTATATGAAGGATTCCAATAAATTCTTAGAAGGGGTTGGAAGAAATTTCCTAAAAGAATTCAACGGTAATTATTACGCGGAGTGTTTTCTGGTTTATTTCAGAACAATTTCAAGATAATTCAGAGCAGAATTCCAAGTTAATTCTGGAATTCATCATGAGAATTTTGAACAACGAAAAATTAAAACCCCGGAAAAGAATAATTCAGTTTCGATTTTTACAAATATTTGTTTCCAAACTCCAGCATCTTCAATATTTTCTTTAGAGGACCATGCACTTTACATCTGAAATTGAAACGACAAAAATCAATTTGCAATATTGCTGAGTGATTAAATTCTAAAAACAATAAGACGATATACTGAAGAAAATTATGCAACAAATAGAGCAAGACATTCATTTGCTAAAGGATCACTCTGTTTTAATGGTTTATTCTGAAATTCTGATGTAAAAATTTGTTACTATGATATGGTTAATTTATTTTCCCAGTTCTCTTGCAGAATTCACGGGTTTTTCCCGGTTACTTTCCAAATTCCCGGTATTCCCGGATTTCCCGGTTTGCTGGCCACCCTGTATCAATCAAAATCACTTGCACCCCTGCTTCCAAGTTTGTGTGGTCGTTGGGGGCTTGTGGTTCTGAATATGGACAAACAAGCATAGATAAATTCTATTCCAACTCTTTACTGATGTAAGCTTGATGGCCCTGAAAAGGGCCGTTTTATTGAAGAGGACATCCATGGCCACTTACGCTTGGCGTGTTTAGTGTAGGTGACAGCATCACGGACCTCATTTTCCACGAACACCTTCAGCACACCTCGTAGATCAGACCGGCGATACGTCAGACACTGCGACGGCGAGCCAGACGACGGATGGTGGTTATCTCGAAGAATTTGCGATGACGATTAGCACCTCCTTTGCCACGACCTACCACGCCGTCCGAAGCGAAAATGAGCTGATACCAGACAGCAGCGCTGCTTTATATCTTTTTAGGTTAAAGCAGAATGATGTGCAACCAAGTGGTATAAAAGCTACAAAGACTCCTCCCATTATGAGTAGTTTGCTATCAAGTAGCGACACTGGCTATTTTTATTTTTGCGTACACGGCGAATGAGAACGACCCAAATTTGAGTTTAGTTCACTCATAATCGCCAAAAGTGTAGGAACTCAGCGATGAGTAAATTTGTCTCATGATTTCCTGTGGAAAACCTAAAAAATCTGCCAGAAAATGAGGAAATTGACGAAAATTTTATTCAGTCTCGGAGTAGTACCAACAGACTGAGTGAATCCAATCTTTACTTTTCTCAAATTCGGGAATTTTTCCCTGGAAAATCCTGGAAAAACCTGGGAAAACATGAGGAATATTTACTCATCGCTGAGTTCCTGCACTTATTTCTGAGATAACTAAACTCAAATTTGGGTCGTTCTCATTCGCCGTGATAGATATCGGCGCCGGTGGTTAGCGTAATTACCTCTCACCCCAGCAGGCCTGGGTCCAATCTCAGTCGGCGCCATCGGCATGTTCTAAGGCATAACATCTCTGCTCTGGGAGCTGCCTCCCTGGCGTCGGTAGCATTGGAGCTCAGTACGGAAAACAAATCTCGCGTCACTTTTCAATAGGTCCTATCTACATTGATCGATTCTCTTCATCGACACTCTCTTTCGTAAATAACTCGGCTTCACAAATCTGCATCAACAATAGAAAAGAGCCCATCAGCATTTGTAAACAAACCGTTCCAAAGCCCTTTACTCACAAAGCGAAGGCCACCCACACAAACCAACACCATCATCGGATAGGGGAAACTTCTACCTACAAGATGTTGGTGTTGGTTAATGTGAGCGGCCTTCGATTTGTGAGGCTTTGGAACGGTTTGTTTACAAATGCTGATGGGCCCTATTCTATTGTTGATCCAGAAATGTGTCCTGCCGTCTTCGTCGAATTAGATGCTAGATTGTTGCTTCTTCCATCGAAAATATCCGGCCGTGGCGATTCAAAGTTGATCAAAGTTGATCAAAACAATTTGTATCCCTGCTTCCAGTTTGATCACATGAGCATTTTGTGTGGTC